ACAATAGCAGGTCGAGAATAGTTTGGCGTCTACTAGGTCAAGGCGAGCATATAAGCAGGTACTGAAGCTGAGGGCTAATCAACCCCTGAAGCACTATAGACAGGTTAATTTGGTGGAATACACACTCTTAGTGGAGGATGATAAGCCGGTCTCCTTCAAGGAAGCTATTCGGGATAGAGATAGTGAGAATTGGTTGGTTACGATGGAGGAGAAAATAGAATCTCTTCGGAAGAACCAAACATGGAAGGTGGTCCCATTGCCTGTAGGAAGAAAAGCTATTGATTGTAAGTGGGTGTATAAGAGAAAAAAAGATCATTCAGAGCTCGGTGGTATAAGGTACAAGGTGAGGCTAGTGGCTAAAAAGTTTGCACAAAGAGAGAGTGTGGATTATAATGAGATATTTTCTCCGATAGTGAAACACACTTCTATTCGAGTGCTATTGAGTATTGTTACTCATAATTATTTTGAGCTGGAACAACTTGATGTTAAAACGACCTTCTTGCACGGAGACTTGGATGAAGAGATCTATATGCATCAACCTGAGGGCTACATGGTTGAGGATAAGGAGCATCATGTATGTTGTTTGAGGAAGTCATTATATGGACTGAAGCAATCTTCTCGGCAGTGGTACAAGCGATTTGAATCCTTCATGCTGAAGCATAGGTTTTATGGGGGTCTTGTGGGGGCCACACCCACGTGGGTGTGAACGAGACACAAATTTGTGTCTTGCGGCCGCCACACCCACGTGGGTTTCTCGGACACACGCGAGTGGGTTCCCCAAGCGGGCGTGGGTTGTTTCCAGATCTGTTTTTGGATCGGTGTTTGGGTATAAATACCTAACGATCTCTTCTAAAGTTTTGTATGGGAGATAAAAACAGAGGGTTAGTCGGCTGTTAATAGAAGAAATAGAGGGTTTAAGCGGCGGCTAAAGAGATTTAGATCTGAGATCTTGAGGAGAGAAAAAAGAGAGCTTAGATGGATTTTACAATAGAGAGGTCAATTTCTTTTGGGTAAAAATCAAAGCTTCTTCTTTGGGACGAGTTTGTGGGTTGTACAAGTCATCGGTGTTCTCCTTCATAGTGGAATCTCCCCTCCCCTTTCCCGTGGACGTAGGCAAGTTTGTCGAAATACGTAAATCTCGTGTCTTTACTGTTTTTCTGGGTGTTGGCTATTGCTTGTAGGTTCTCTCGACAAGTCAGTCCTAGAACTTATGAGAGGAAGAGTGTATATTTTATTTGGTTGAGATATTTCACTTTTTGTTCTTGTTTCCTTAGTAAAACGGGAATATAGAGGTTGACTTGAGCTTTTGTGACAACAAAAGCCAGGGCTTTCTCTTGGGTTATATTGCATCTGCGGCATGAGAGCGTGTCTCTGCCCCCAACAGAGACACATTTAAAATATCTAACACTTGAGGACTTATTTAAAAATAGATTAGATTTCGGGAAAAAAATATAAGCAAATCCCTTCACATTTTAGTTAATATGATAAGAAAACATATCTTATACAGTAAAACAATAAAAGATAAAAGAATGTGTAACTGAGGATTTGTATGGACGCGATTCTAGATTAGTACTACATATGTATAACTCTATCTATATGTTTTTAAGTCCACCGTACGATCAACAAGAACCATTAAGAAATAGAGAACCTACTCTCTTTTTTATTTATTTTAAAAACGGTAGAGACAGACATCAGCTTGTGCAAGAAACAAAATAAGCAAATCCCAAACACACAATAACGGTATATTTTTAAAACACAGTTCATTTGTAGAGCTCGATCGCTGGAATACCAAAAGCAGAAGGAACAAGCTTCAACTCAGAGAAGCCCGCTTCCTTTGCCAAGGACTCAAACTCATCCTTGGTCCTCTCTTTTCCCTCATTGAAATTCAACATGCAAAGGTCCGTGTTGAACATGGCTTGAGTCATGGTGTCTTCATCCGGGAGCTCAGGGATGACAAAGTCGACAACGATCACCTTACCTGAGCCTGGTAGAGCCTTCAAACAATTCTTCAGTATCTTTAGGCAATCTTTGTCAGACCAGTCATGAAGAATCCACTACAAATATCATGAATTCATATAATTAGTTTCTTGTAATTATATATAGGGCACGGCTCTTTTTTTGGTACGTACGTTGCAGCTGATAGTTACAATATGAATGCTGGTTGCAAGCATCTGCTATTATACATGTAGATGATACTAATTTATATATTTTCTGTAAAAATATGACACAGATTGATGGAAGAAATTTTTTGGGCAAATCTTCCTAGTACTAAATACTTTTGAAAACGCATACGTATAGATTATGAGAAAAAGGTTTAGTAATTTACATAGAATTAACAACTTTAATTTGAAGACAAACTAATGCGGGTATTAAGAAAAACACGTGCTAATCTACCTTCATAAAGACTGCGTCCCCACTTGGAATGCTATCAAACATATCTCCGGCAACATGTTCCACTCCTGCGCCATATATAGTGATCCGATAAATGCAACATGTATATGGTGCTCGTGCTTAATTAGTTACTTATATGTATGGTT